ATTTCCTATTACATTCTAGCCACTTGTCGGTATTTTTTTAAATATCAGGCTTAAAGCAAAAATGTTCTATTTCTCCATTCGTCTCGGCTTGGCTTCTTTGATCTTCTTTCCTATAATGGTTCACTTATTGTTATTTAGCAAGAAATCGCATTTACTTCGCTAATCAAAGTGTGTCAACTTCCTCTTCTAGTGAACTATCAAACGACTGTTCCAAACCCAGTTGAGTGAAAAAGAAACTCGCCAATTGATTGGAGGATTTATCGGCTCAAACAAGTGCGAAAGTTCAGACTAATAAGCACCGAAAGCTAATTAAGACTCCTTCTAGAACACCAACATTACCGTTTGTTCTTATTAGCTTCAAAGTGTCTATTTGGTTAATGGGTCCCCATAAATTCCCCGTAAATGCCCGTTACCGAGCCCTAATAAGAAGGCGTAAATTTTCCAGGCAGGCCCACGAGTTTGCTGATTTGGAACTTTGAAAGAAGCGACTCAACTCGCCTCAATTGAGGACAAAATCGACAATTATCCGCATTCAACGCCATGGGAAACAATTTCCCAATAAATACCGAGTGGGAAATTGCAATCAAAGCGGGCAAAATAAAATTAACCCAAATCTCTGGACTAACAACTCAATAGTCTTGGAGGTGTATCCAAGGGGGGAAGCTTCCGGTTCGCGTATCCAAGGCAACGGTTTCGTTATTGGCTAAACGCCGGAAGGAAGGAAGAACTTCCTCCCCCTGATTGGGGGAATAATACAAGTTGGGGCATCATTTCAGCTAACAAGCTTTATAGGTAAGCTGCGTAATGCCTTTATGGGGCATTCACAAGCTTTCCATGGATAATGGAAATATTCAACAGGAATGAGTTTTGCGTTGCGCAATTAAGCGGACAAAGTGGCTTACCTGCCATCCAGATCATTAAAACGGTTACATCCGGCTGAGCCAAAAAGCCAACATCTAAGGAAGCATACATATGTAACTTCCGCTCAACCCCCCGATATTTACAAGGCAAAATTGAATGCTTTTTCTATTGGGGAAGAATCGCATTTCGACTGGCTGAAAAGATCGGGCATATTTGCCCGTATAACCGATTTCTTTCATCTTTCGCCAAGCCCCGCCTAAAGATAACACGGTTTTCTGCATTTTATTGATCGGCTGTGTTGAGCAACGTTTGCACAATACCGGACCAAGAAAAGAACCTTCGTGGTTTAGGGCAAATTAAATATTTAGCCACCTGGGGTTGGGACACGTGTAAACACGGTAGTCTTTTGTGGCTTCTTCGTGGCGTTTTCTCAACTAGCGAAAAGAATCAGTGCGTCAACGGATTAATTAATTAATCCGCCCATAAGCCTCAAAACTAATATCGCCCCCGCTCGATCACTTAGCCCTCAAACCGCCGATCTAATGGCTGCAAACCGAAGTTTAATAAAGCGCTAATATGTCTTGCAGAGGATCAACCCTTCAAGACTGCCGCCGCCCCCTAGTGACTTAATTAAATGCAGGGGCTCGCCGTTTATTAGTCTTGTTACATGTGTCAATGTCATAATTTATTTAGAACCTTATATATGTACATAAAGGCTCCGGGCTTAAACGTTACAATGCCCTCGCCTTGGATGCTTGGTTTTATTAGATTTTTATCTTCCAAACAGATTAACTTCGATATGAGGTCGTAAGCTCGCAGAGCAATAAGCTGAGGAACAATTCAACTACTTTTTAATGCCCTGGAGTTTTTATACTGGGTGTAGTCCCTTGGAGGAGTCAATGATTCCAATGAATTAAGACCTATTTAGACACGTTTTTATGAGATTTTTTGGAAACTTTCCTCTGAGAACACTCTGTGGGTTTGTCTGGAGCTTAACACCAAATTTGAGCAGGTTTGGTTAAACAGCGGAGCCGAAGCCGAAAATTTCTTAAGGGTGGATGCTTTCGAAAAAACTCGAATTTCTCAAAATGTCCCAAACACCGACAATTTTCAAACGGGGAAGCTCCTTAGCTCGAAAGCAGTCAATAAACCAGCGTGTGCAATTTTTGCTCTTTTGCCGCAAATTTAAGAACAAAACTTCGGAAAAAATATTTTTGTGTTGCGCCCTTAACAGCTTCTGGAAACCCCACTTAGCTTAGTCTGATTTTGATGCAAAAACCTGCACTAGAAAAAGGAAAGATTTTTTTTTTTAAATATGGTTTTCGTTGAAGATTCCTTGAAAAGAACTATGAGCAAAATAAATGGAGCTAATTGACAACAAAATAAAATTATGTGGGGCGCTCTAAACATCTTCCAGAAACTCCATTTAGCTCAGGCTGATTTTTATTCCGAAAACTGCGTTCGAAAGCAGCAGAATTTTCCTACAAAATCAAGGTATGGGGTGGACGATTGTTGGAAAAGTAGCTGATTTATGAGCGAATAAAATGAAGCCAATTTAGCCATTACAACCTCATTAGAATGCAGCGGCTTTAGTGCCAAAGATGCATTTTTAAACGGCGCTTGCAGAAAAATCACTAGGATCAGATGACAATCTGAAACAACATGAACGGGGTGTTTTGTGAAAACACTAAAAAACTGCTTTTTCCAGGAAACTGTCAAGTAACTGAAATTAATTCGTGCAGGTTTGGAAACACCACGTAGCTCAGTCTGATTTTTATTCCAAAAATTGCCTTAGAAAGCGGACGATTTCTGCTTAAAAAGTACGGGTTGATGTTGGTGACTGCTTAAGACTGGACGAGTTATGAGCGAACCGAATCAAGCCAATTTTGCCATCACAACCTCATAACAATGCAACTGTATTTTCCACAAAAATGCGTTTTTCAACAGCATTTGTAGCGGAATCAACGCATCGGATCCGAACATTCTGCATGTTTGTCTGCCGACTAACAGCAAACGTTCAGTAAATTTGAGCAGGAGTGCTTAAACAGCAGAGTCAAAATCGAGATTTGTTGCAATTTGAATTAATTTTCCGAGAGCTTCAAGGTCAAGAGTCTTCTATATCTTGTGAGCATTCCAAGTCGTTCCTTTCTGTATGTGAGAAGTTGCGATTTTTTTCTTGGGAGTCTGCAGAACGTTGCACAATTTCAAGGATTTTTTAGAGATCTTCGTACTTAAGTGTTCTCCATCAACTATCAAAATTCCAAGTCGCTACTCGCTGCATATTAGAAGTTACGATTTTTACCGATGGACTTTCGATAGTTGGAAAACTTTAAATTTTAAGGCATTATTTACAGGATTGGTGCGCATCAGGATTTGGTGCGTTTTGAATGAGTCTTTTGACGTCTTCAGACTCAGGTGTTGCCTGTAGACTGTAAAAATTCCAATGTGCTGCGTGATCTGCTTTAGCAATTACAATTTTTTTCT